TGTACATTGTGGTTTACATAATCGGTTTGTAGAAATGTCTGCATAGGCCCACTTTTTGGTATTTTCCCTATATTTTAATTTCACGTACCAATAAGTATGCCTATAGTGGAGGGTATCCAAAGTTCGCTTTTTCACTTGTTTATATTAAAATAGTTAGCTGATTTGTTCCGTGTATTGGGGTTGTCCCCATATAGTTTTTTTTTGATTCGATCTGGCAACTCCTTCATATACAAACAGGTGTTCAAAAAAGACGCATCCCCAATTTGTATACCCTTCACCACACTGTGGTGCAGGGTATTATGTCATTGTGCATATGTTTGTAACAGGCAAAAGGAATCGAGATAGACCCATGGTTCCTTTTGAGAATATGCATAGAATCACTTTCTGAGTCGATTTACGCATGTCCCTCTGTCCGTCCATGTATTTTTGTGAACAAATTACAGGTCGCATTTATGATCCAATTTGGATGAAATTTGGCACAGTTCACTTATTTGGCCCAAGGACAAACCCTATTGGAGAAAATCGGTTCAGGTTTAGATATAGCTCTCATATACAGTTTCGTACGATTTTATGTAAATGATGCACCAAACTCCCAATATTTGTCTGATTGGGACAAAATTTTGCACAGCGCACTGAATCACGTCCATACTTATGTATGCGAAGTTTTGTTGGAATCGGTTCGGATTTAGATATAGCTCCCATATATAGTTTCGTCCGATTTTATGTGAATGATGCACCAAACTCCCAATATTTGTCCCATTGGGACAAAATTTTGCACAGAGTAGTAAATTAGGTCCAGACTGCCAAGTTTTGTTGGAATCGGTTCGGATGTTTGTCCCATTGGGACAAAATTTTGCACAGAGTAGGAAATTAGGTCCAGACTGACGTCTCCGATGTTTTGTTAAAATCGGTTCAGATTTAGATATAGCTACCATATATAGTTTCGTCCGATTTTTTGTGAATGATGCACCAAACTCCCAATATTTGTCTGATTGAGACAAAATTTTGCACAGAGTACTGAATTAGGTCCAGACTGATGTCTGCGAAGTTTTGTTAAAATCGTTTCAGATTTAGATATAGCTATATATATGTATAATGATACACCAAACTACCAATATTTATCCGATTGAACAACATTTAGCATAGCGAATGCAAATGAGGAAAAAATTATGTGTGCAAGGTTTGTTGAAATCGGTTCAGATTTGGATATAGCTCTTATATATAGGTCTTATACATTTTAACAATGGCTAAAATCAAATACGAGTTGCTTGACCACCAACCTTATTCCCCTGATTTAGCTTCCGGTGACTTTTACTTGTTCCCAAATCTAAAAATCCTTGCTGGCAAGCGTTTTACCTCAAATGAAGATTCAATTAAAGTGTAAACCACTATTTTGCAGACCTTGAAGAAAACTAACTATTCTCTTTCATTGATAGGCTAAGAAGTTTCCGAACCGCCCTCATATGTTCGTTTTATTTTAATTTCAAGTGCCTCAGTATACGTACGAGTATGGTGGTGGGTATCCAAAGTTCGATACGGCCGAACTTAACTCCTTTTTTCACACATAGGGTTGGAATCTTCATTTCAAGCAACAGCCAGAATACCTATAATGGAGAGTGTCACAAGTTCGTCCTGGCCCAACATTAGTTCTTTTCACTTCTGTAATTACAATAATGAACTTTTTGGTAACTGAGTATTTTCGCCGCATGTTCAATTCTAATTGTTAGGAATTCGGTATTAATGCTTCCAAGTAGTTACAAATATTTTTGAAACGAAACTGACCAAATTTAACTTGTGATGCAAAAAATATCTATGCATTCATTACAGTTTGTGGTAGAATATTTTCAATAGAAACGAATATTTCCAAAAGTTTAAAACAAACATTGTCGTATGCTAACAAGCATTTAGGAATTCTATGGAATTATTCCTGGAATTATTTTTAATTTTTTTCGCACATTTGATTGCACAAAAAGATTGTGTGTAATTGTAATTGAAAGAACAGTTCAGACTGTGAACATATTTACACAACTACTTCATCAGAATTGAACTATAACATTTGTATTGTCTTTAGTCAATGTCAATCATGTTGGAAAATATCAGAAAAGTGATATGTCAGATATAAGGCAAATAACATTATAAGACCGCAGAAATAATTATTAAGAATATTAGGGAACTAGTATTCAAATATTCTAAATGCAATAAAAAAATGGGACTTTTTATACCCTCCACCATAGTATGGAGGGTATATTAGTTTTGTTTTTCCGTTTGTAACCCATCGAAATAATCATTTCCGACCCTATAAAGTATATATTCTTGATCTGTTTAAAATTCTACGACGATTTAAGCAATTTTGATTAAGAAATTTGGTACTTTGAGTTTTTATTGGGTAGCAAATCTCCCTACTAAAAATTATAAACATAGATCCATTTTTTCGAAAGCCCCCATATAAGGGTAACCCCCAAATTTCGGTATTTTGGGGTTCTTGAGCGCGTTTTATAACTGAATTCGCTAAAATTTGGTACATTGGGTTTTTAATGTAGTCCCGTTATAACACAATTTTTTTATATTAAAATTGTTATCTGATTTGTTCCGCGTTTTGGGTTGGGTTCTAAGACATTGTTGTAATAATTACACCTGTGGAGGATATCGAGATAAAAAAATTAGGACATGAAGTTCGAGAATGAACTAAATAAAACCTGTGATGATGGCCTCATATAACTGTATACTCTAAATTGCAGTATTTTGGGGTTGTTCCATTCTACCATTCGTCGTCAATATCGGTCCATATTTTGGAGTTTTTATGAAAAATATCTATAAACATTTCTGAAATTTGTATTTCATGCATATCGGCAGGATTCAGGCATCTTCTCCATATAATGATATTTCCTGAAGAGAAGAATTGAGATACATAACTAAAATATTGTGTTCGAAATTCACGTTTCTACAAACCCTCCACCATAGGTGTACTGACAGGTACTTGAAATGAAAATATAGGGAACATACCACAAAGTGGACCTATACCGACATTTTTACAAACCGATTTGTGTAAACCATAATGTACACTAAATTCAAATTTCAGCAATATGTAAATGGAGATTTTTCCTAAAAACACCAAAAAGTGGACGGTATTGGCGACGCATGGTAGGGTGGAAGTACATCCCCAAAACACTGCAATTTAGAGGGCACAGTTATATGAGACCAGCGTACCAAGGTTTTATTTCCGGGGGGTTTGGTGAAAGCTCCTGGTTCAACAACAAGTACGAAATGGTACTAGATTTGGTAAAATTTGGATTTTGGGTGATCCGATACACCTGGAATCCTGAAATTTAATGTTAGTAGAATTGAGCACGTAGGACGTTTTGGTAATGCATACTGGAGTGTTCTAAATTTAGTACAATTTAAATTTTGGGTGAACCGATAGAAATGGAATTCTGGAATTTGAAGTTACGGTCACTGTTGGAGTGAAGGATTGGAGTATGTAGGAAGTTTTGGAAATTTGTATTAATGTGTACTAAATGGTACTAAATATAGATTTAGGTGAACCAATAGAGCACTGAACACTGAAATTTGGAAATAAGGTTACAGTTGAAGTTTAGTATTGGGGTATGGGTGTAGTTTTGGAAATTCATACTTATGAGTACTACATCGTACTTATTAATTCTATATTGTACAATTTGAATTTTGGATCCAAAAAAATTATATAGCTTCCAAATCGGTTGAAACACGAACACTTATTTGGGGCTAATCTAAAAATTGGACCAATATTGATAATTTAAGGTAGGAAGATTTGATACCCAATGAGAACCAAATGTAGCCGATTCCGTAGAAAATGTGTGTCAATGTGTATTTGGGGGTGTTGTTTTTATGGGGGCTACACCAAAACGTCAACCGATATACCCCCATTTGCAATACCAACCATCCTAGGAGTAATAGCAATGCAAGTGCAAAATTTCAAAGCTCTATCTCAAATATTGCGATCTCAAACGTGATTTCAACGGACGCTCATAAATCGACATCGAATTTTATTCTTAACAACAATGTATATACTTTGTGGAGTCTCCGGTGGGGAGAGTATACAAATTATCTATTCCGACGCAACAACCTTGATTACGAACCTGTTAATAACCACATTCCCCAACATGTAAATTTCATCGTCTTAATAAACAATCATCGATACAAGATCTCACTGTTTCCTACATATTTTCTTATTTGCTCCCAAAGAATTTTGGTTTTGAAACTTTCATTGAACTCTTTTTTTTTGGTTCAGCCTCTGTTTGTTATCTATGACAAATGATAATGTCGATAACAATGACATGTTATGAATCTTTCAAATTATTGATATTAAATCTGATATATGTATCTAAAAAATATCTTGAAAAAGAGAAACAGGTTAACCGTATCTTTCTAAAAAGAAAACAAAGTGCGGTGAATATTCTATTCAAATATTGTTTGAAATGTTTCAACAGCATTCGAACCTTAAAAAAATGTCTATATAAAAAAAAAAAAAATCAAAGCACCTGAAATGCCAAATTAGGTTTAAAATTCAAAATAAGAAAATGGATTGGAAAATTTGATTAAAACCATTAAAATACCAAAACCTAGGAAGATATATCCCATTTTTAATACCAAATATCCTAGCAGCAATAGAAATGTATTTTGATTTTGGCCACATTTCATTGGATAGCGAATGACAGTCGATTTAGGTATTTTAAGGCACATCTCATATTGGAGGGTATAAAAAGTTCGATCCGACCGAACATCATGATTTTTTTTACATGCCACTTGTTCATATTTAGTCTTTTGCTGCTATCAACATTTGTGATGCGCATTGATCGATTTCCAATTTCGGTATGTTATCTTGTTGTTATTACGAAAATTCACAACGACAAAAAAAATGATACCGAAAAAGTCTATAAAAGTTCAATTTAACCGAAAAGGTAAATTATTTGTGAAACATACGTAAAGAATCAAAATTCAGTGAAAAAAATTGTGGAGAGACAATGATGAAAAATTTAATTTTTCTTGTATTGGCAACGGTCTGCGGTTTATTGTGTCTGGTTGCTGGCGAATCATTCGATGAATGTGAAGGCGTGGACCCAGGAACATATGTCGCCAGTTCACAAAGTTGTTCAGCATTCATCTACTGTGATGGCGAAGATTCGATTTTAGACGAATGTGAAGATGGTCTATATTTTGATGGTGAAGAATGTGATGATAAGGACAATGTTGAGTGTCCATTGGACAATGCCAATGGCGGTGATGGCGAAGAGGAAAATGGCGATGGTGAAGACGAGGAACCTGAAGAAGCTCCAGAAGAAGAAGTAATTCAGCCAAGTAAAACCACTCCAGCGCCAGCTACTGTCGTTGCAACGATCGCGCCCACAACGCCAGTCTACAATCCAGCGGAAATTCTCGATGTACCTCCCATTGTAATGGACACCTGTCCGCCAAGTGATGATCCAAATCAAATTGTGCTCATCAGCAACAGTAACTCCTGCTCGGATTATTATGTCTGCTATCATGGTAATGCCATTGCTATGCACTGTATGGATCACCTGCATTTCAATGTCGCCACGGGCAAATGTGATTTTCCTGAAAATGCCAAATGCAAAGTGAGTTATGAATATGCTTTTAATTTCGCCAAAAACTTTTTTTTTAATTTTACTTTGTTGACTTACATTTTGATTTTTGCAGTTGGCCGTTCAAGCGCCCACGGAATTCAATAAGTGCCTGCCTCACATGTCAGAATTCTTCCCCCATCCCACAAAGTGTAACTACTTCTATTACTGCATCAAAGGATATCAAACATTGCAACAGTGTCCATTCTACTATGGCTGGGATGTTGAAAAACGAACGTGCATCCGCATGTCCCAGGCCAAATGTTACAATAGTAGTTCATAAAATATCTATTAGCTTTCCTAGCGTGTTGGTTTTTGTTCATTGAGCATTTGATGTTATGCCTTTGAAATGTACTTATAATTAGTTTATATATTATTATTAAATTGAATTATGTTCTGGGAAAATGAAAATACAATTTCGTGTTTGCCACTTTTTTTATTTGCAATGGAAGAAAATAGAATTAAATACTTTCATCGACACTGTCACGTCATGCTGAGATATAAAAAAGTGCTTCCTTTTTTATCTGATTTTTGAACATGCCTGAAATATTGATAGCAGTGAACAACATACAACAAAGTATATCAGTAAGCCAGAAATTAAGTTCGGCCGTGCCAAATTTGTTATACCCTTCAACACAAAAACATTGACATATCTTGAAAACAATCTGCAACATACCAATAACCCAGAATAGCAACTTCCTTTAGGAGCATCATAATACCTTAAATTTGCAAGGTTCTATGTATGGATGCTTAGCGAATATAATGACCTATTCATAATGTCAGGATTTTAACGAAAATTTTTCAAATCCGGACATAACAGCAAATCCAACCAGTAAGGAAAGGCCGACTATATGATACCCTTCACCACTTTGAGTATATTCAACAGATGAATCCTAACAGACGTCGAATTTTTGAAGGACCAGTAAAATATACTAAATTTTTCATTTGGTCAAATATAGAGTTGCTTCTTACAATGGGACAAAATTATGTACATCAATTTAAAGGAAATGTCAATACGACACCCGTTGATTATTTGGATAAATATCTAAATCTGAACCGAATTCAATGAGACTTACCAGAGATTTATTTATAATAACTACAGTTCATTGTACAAAATTGTGTGGCAATCGGAAAAATTTAGGTCTTCACAACACAATTTACATTAAATCGAAAAAAAAACGAAAATCGAAACAAAAATATATATGGGAGCTATATCTAAATATGAACCGATTTTCACGAAAATTAACATACATCATTCTAGACTTTATTCGGTACGATATATCAAATTTCGTGCATATCGATAGAAATATAGGGACTTTAGTACATCATTTACATTAAATCGGACGAAAATATATATGGGAGCTATATCTAAATCTGACCCGATTTTCTCGAAACGTGACACACGTCATTCTAGACTCAATTCAGTACGCTATGCCAAATTTCGTGCAAATCGAAAGATTTTCAGGGACATTGGTGCACCATTTACCTTAAATCAGACGGAAATATATATGGGAGCTCTATCTAAATCTGAACCGATTTTCACGAAACTTAACACACATCATTCTAGAGCTAATTCATTACGCTGTGCCAAATTCCGTGCAAATCGAAAGATGTATAGGGACTTTGGTACACCATTTACATAAAATCGGACGAAAATATATATGGGAGCTATATCTAAATATGGAACGATTTCCATGAAACTTAGCACACATCATTCTGGACCTAATTCAGTACTCTATGCCAAATTTCGTGCAAATCTAAAGATATATAGGCACTTTGGTGCATCATTTACCTTAAATCGGATGAAACTATATATGGAAGCTATATCTAAATCTGAACCGATTTTCTCGAAAATTGGCACACATTATTCTGGAACTAATTCAGTACGCTATGCCAAATTTCATGCAAATCGAAATATATATAGGGGCTTTGGTGCCCCATTTACCTTAAATCGGACGAAAATATATATGGGAGCTATATCTAAATCTGAACCGATTTTTCCCAATTTCAATAGGGTTCATCCTTGGGCCAATTAAGTGAGCTGTGCACAAATTTCATCCAAATCGGATAATAAATGCTACCTGTACTTTGTTTACAATTTAACATGGACAGACAGACGGACGGACGGGCATGCATAAATCGACTTCAAAAGTGATTCTATGCATATTCTCAAATGAACCATGTGTCTATCTCGTTTCCTTTTGCCTGTTACACAAAGACATAATATCCTGTACCATAGTGTGGTGAAGGGTATAAAAACATGGGATTTTCCCATTCCATTCTTACATTGCCAGCACGTATTTGTGATATTTTCCAACTGCCAACAATAAATATAAGGAAACATATTAAACAAATGTCCTCTCTTAAATTTGTGACTGTGGTAAATGTTTATACCCAGTAGTTCGAGTAACTGGTGATGAACTAGATACTTTACTAATTACCTGTAAGTACCACTAGTTACCACTTCATGCCCTAGACTGGTGAATTTAACATGGGTATGTCATTGGGGAAGTCAATTGTCCCCTGCCTGCGTTACCAGTATACAGTCATTTCGATAGTCGATTCATTACCCTTTGAATTACCAGTAACTACTGAATTGGTATGATGTGCGCAGACAACTTTTTCAATTGACAAAAAAATCTAACAGTCTATTTTGTGTTCCTTTTTGGGGTATGAAGTAACTAGTTCACTATGTAACTAGCTATATAACTATATAATAGCAGACAATTGATATTTTTTGAACAACTGGGTAGCCAAGTCACGAACGTGCCTAGTTGTGGGAACATTTGCTAATGAATAACTCAAAGCTACGGAGTCGCAAACTTGTTGGAACAAAAAAAAAACCCCAAAAGAAACACCATTTGTTTTCATGTTTGAAAACATTTCGGTTTATTTTAGATTTAGCTGCCATATAAAAGTCTAACCCTGTTTATGGTATTTTTTATGGTCCTAATCGCATTTTCCAAACAAAATAGTGGCTATATTTGGCCACAAAAATTGTAATATAGACCCATGTTCCGATAATTTTTAACAAACGGATGATTTTACCTAGTATGATATCCCTTGTTATCTTTTACAGATTTCAACCTTGTCGGTATGATGTCCATGTAAGATTTCCGATTTGTCTCCCTTGAAATGTTATGGCTTCAAATATTTTTCTCCAAAATATTCCATAAGTTCTCTATAGGACTCAAATCGGGGACTGAGAATCTGGGGGTTGTGGGTCATTATTTTGATAAAAATATATCGAAATATATATGGAAGCTATGTCTGCATCTGCACCAATTTCAACACAATGCAATAACGTCATTCCAGTCTCACTTCGATACGTTGTGAAATATTTCGTATCAATCGAACAAACATTAGGAGTTTCGCGCACCATTTTCTTAAAATCAGACGAAAATATATGTATGTGGGAGCTATATCTAAATCTGAACCGATTTATATTAATTAATTTATATTAACTTCAGAAAATTGTACAAAATTATGTGTCAATCGGACATGCGTTAGGTCTTTAGTGCACAATTTACATTAAGGGGTCCCCCCTCCCCATTCTCGGAGTCAAAATTTTTATTGATTTAATTCGAATCTACACTAATTCAAGAATGTCCCTACAAAATTTCAAGTGAAAATCTCAAGAATTCTTGAAGATATAGCCGATTTATTGTGTCAGCATCAAGTGACGGCTAAAGGACTTCTCAAACTTTAAACACGTTTTTCTCTTTTGCGAATGGCGGGCACGATAACTCAAAAACTAATAACCCAATCGATTCCAAATTTTTACACGTTTCTCTGTGAGTGTATAGCTATCGTATGAACTAGGATAAAGCCAATCGGTGAAGATCTTCCTTATTTTTTAACTCGATTTTTGGTCAAAAATTTGGCGATTTTCCAAAAATATTTTTTCAAAGGTCCGTCATTTTGTTAATTTTCGAGCGAAGTCAATAATCCTAGTTAATACGAGAGCCAGACATGTCCTCTTTCTAAAACAGTTGGAATTTTCGGATTCCGATGTTCCAGTGAGGAGTTATCATGCCCGCCATCGAAAATAAGGACTTTTCTCTGAACACAAAAAACAGCAACAAAACAACTACAAAAAATTTTGGTAAATTATTTTTCTTCCTTTTTAAATCTTCAAATATATATGTGCAAACTTACAAAGCTTAACAAGCATTGATATTCATTTAACAGCCCATTTAAAATCTAAAAAATAAAAAGTCGAGAATGGGGGGGTTCCCTTAAATCGGACGAAAATATATATAGGTGCTATATCTAAATCTGAACCGTTTTTCACAAAACTTAGAACACATCATTCTAGACTGTACGCTGGGCAAAATTTCGTGCAAATAAAAAATGTAATAAATATGGGAGCTATATCAAAATCTGAACCGATTTTCACGAAACTTAGAACACATCATTCTAGACTTAATCCAGTAAGTTATGCCAAGTGGATTATGGATTTTAGTACACCATTTACATTAAATCGGACGAAAATATATATGAGAACTATATCTAAATCTGAACCGATTTTCACGAAATTTATTTTCCTAATGTGTCAACTTGTTTACGAAGCTCCTATGTAAGAGTCCCAATCGATTTGCAACTATGTGGCAAAATCAAGTCAAACCTGCATGCCTTAATTCACCGTTAACACAAAATCGAATCTCTAATGTTTCCATTTAATTAGCAATGCAATAAATAAATTGCTTCTTATGTTATAAATATTACCTCCATGAGAGCATAACATGTTATACATTTTCCAATATAATCGTTCGTATGAAATTTAACCGTCTGTACAGCACTGTTATAGACTACTGTATGTGTTATGATTAGTTTTCTGAATTTTCGTTTATTTGTGTGTGTGTGTAATAGCTATCAACAAATAGTAATCAAGAGCAATAAAGCGTAGGCGATTAACTTTTTTCATTTTCCTTTTTCATTATTAATTTTTTGGTTTACTGCGAACATGAAAAAACTCTTAAAGGATACCTAAAAAATAGGATATCCAAAGTATCCAAAGTGAAACGGAAAAAAAATCTGGATGTTTGTTTCAGTTATCCGATGTTTTCACTTAAACGGAGTTCGGTTAACTGAAAAAAATTTCAGTTATCCGAACTTCTCATAAGCGAACAATTTTTCAGTTTAAGGAATTTCAATAATTCATACTTTACATCAAATACGTAGGTTTCGAATTTGAAAATAGACGATCGAAATTTGACATGTTCACAGCTAAAGGGACTTTTATTTTGAACCGTCTTTTGTATGTGTCTTATTAAAATGCCT